CGTACAACCATCTCATTTTTCCTAAAGCTTGTATTGTATAGTATTTTTATCGCTGAAATTTTATGAGTGTTTTATATTAAACAAATAATAATTGCAAATGAAATCAAGAGAGAGAAACATGAAACGAGTCTTTGTATAGAAACTTAAGACACGATTCTTCTCATATGTCTCTTTTTTATTGGTCTATTTTTATTAATTTAATACTTAATTATTTAATAAACACAAATTGTTTATATTATTTTAATAGTTTCATTATAATTTAATTTTTAAATTGTTTAAACTAGTAATATTTAAATTAGTGGCAAAGTGATCTCCTTAAAAGTTAGAACCGGTTGGAACCGGAAGAACCCTAAAGTGCTCTCTCTCATACATTTTTTTTTAATTTTTAAGAAACCCACTAAAAAAACAACCGATGAAGGTGCTCTAATGTTGTCGGTTTTATGGGTTTTACAGCTCTTTTTTTTTTGTTAGATTGTAACTTTTAAAATAAAAAAAATATATAAAGCATGTTTGGTAAGTTTTAAAGCTGTAAAAAATACTAAGATTATAGATACTTTTTATAGCCTAACCAATCATGTCATATATATATATTTTTTTTTTTTGCTAGTTCTTTTTTTCCGACGATATATAAAAGTATTCAACTTCCTACTTTACGGAATTTCATGAAGGCAAACATATTTCTATGGTCAAGCAACATAACAACTCACGAAGATAATCTTTATTGCAAAACACTTCTCAGTTCTTCATGTAATAGAAAACTTCAAAATGTATATGTTTACCAAGTGGTTGATGGTCTAGTGATCTTGAGATTTGAAAAAAAGTCTTCAAGGTCATTAGTTCAACTCTACTTGAGAGAGGTGATTTACGCCTGAAACGTGGTATTATTAACGGCTAGCCTCGCACACCGAAGAGATTATGGATCAAAGATCCAGAATTCTAATGGTTTTATAAAAAAAATGTATGTTAGGAATTGAGAAGATATAAGCTATAGTGGAAAAAATATCAAATTTATATAGAGATCCAAGTTTAAGACTTTAAGTGTTTACTGGAGTGGTTTGTACGTATACTTGTATCACACGTCAATCCTTTATTGTCTCAAATAGAACAATGAAGTCATTACTAATTTTGCACACGAACAAAACTTCAGAACAATTCGAATTCCGTTGGGGGAGATATGTAAGTATCAGACTTTAAGACCTCAAAGATGT